GCCAAAAATGGCACGTCCAATGACCCTTTAGAAGCTAAACCCACATCCGAACCATTTGTCACCCGGGAAATCCATCTTAGCCATGCTAAAAGGAGCAACCCAAGTTAGTAGAAATGGGCTAACTAGGGCTATTTTCCATCCTTTGCTTTAGCCATAAAGGAGAATGTCATGAAAATAATGATTACTCTTGGCCTCATAAGAAAGGAGAAGCATGATGTCCGTTCATATGCTCGACTCTTTTTCGAAATTAGGCTAGGCTTGCAGTCAAGGTACGGAAACCCTTTCAGCAAATAATAATAAATTATTAAGCTATTGACGAGACTATTATCAGGGAGTCGCATCCTTAGCAATCTGTCTCCTAATGACGAATTATTGGTGACGTGTTATGGATGACGTCTCCTATTACCATTTTCAGCGTTAAAGTGCACGAGTGGACGCTAAAAAGCAACATAAAACCCTAGGTTGGAATAATAAGCATGCAAAGTAATCACCAGTCCTTCAAAGAAAAGCGTCAAGCGCCTTACTTTGTCCAAGAGCTTTCACATATAATCATGGACGTGCACAATGGGCGTGATTCACAAGTTTCAAGTCTCTAGAACATGGACTGTATCTTTTGTAAAATTTCTAAGATATAATTAGGTTTTGGGGGAATCCGTGTCTATTTCAATTCATTTCACAATTAGATGAAATTTTCAAGCAAATTTAGTAAATTAAGAAAAACATGGTGTACTCTAATAATATATGGTTTAGGATAGACAAAGTTGGACAATCTAAAGGATTGCTCAAACGTGTGTTATATTCTACATTAAAGGTCTAAATTCAATTTGTAATATATTATGTATTGAGTGGCGGAAGTAAACTCAAATTATATAGAAACAAACTAGACGTGGATTAGCATATAAATCACAAACAAGCAACATATGAAGATTGCAATGTCGGCTACAAGCACGACAAGGATCAATTTAACGATGCCCATCTAAAAAAGAGAGCTATCTTCTTTTGGAGGTAATTTCGTCGAAAGTGACTTTTCTCATAAAAAAGTAAGAAAAGAAAGGAGAAGTTGTTATCTCATTGTCACCATCGCCAGAAGGACCAAGAGAGTCAAAAAGTTGTGCAGTATAGTTCTCGTCTGATGTAGCGAAAGCACACTCAATTTGAGGCTGTGGAGAGAGACATACGAGCCACGTTTCTTCGTTTTTTGGGTAATGTGCTTTCTCACGGGTGATGTCAATTTTCCTTAGGCTGGGCTCATATAATGATTGGAATTGGCTTGCTGAGGAATAGTGGGAAACTTTAATCATTCCCCTAAATGATTTGTTCTTGTGAATCACGAAACTTTTTGAAATGGAAGAAGTAAATAATTTTCTATGGTGGAACGAGTTATCTTTGATTTTCCGATAAACCAGGAGCGGAATCCATTTGATCTCCGTTCCAACTTCTTTGTAGCTTAACTTAGAGTAAATGCGACGTATAGTTTCTTTCGGATAGTAACAAGAAAGAGTGAACGATTTCTTGCTTGAAGTTATGCCGATTGATACAGAGTATCCGGCTTGACAGTGCACGATGTTCTAGGCTTTGAAGGAAGGAAATAAGGAGTTTCTCTAAAGAAGATAGTTTTTAGTAAGTACTCCATCGACGGAGGTCATGTTGACTTCACAACGGTGGAAGCAAGTTGGGTAATTTTGTGTTTCCCTAATTTTAAATGGGCCTCCATTAAAAAATGGCGATATTACCATCATCCATAAAATTTTTATATAAGATTTTTCACCAACCATTTCAAAACCCTAGTTGTCGCCAACCTCTCTCATTCCCTCTCTCACCATGTGCAGCCACCAGAGCCATCGCGCGTTAATATTAAGCCACCAAGGCACCGTCGTCGTTTTCGTTTGGTCCTTAATAGGTTCTCCCTCTCTCTCTCTCTCTCACACACTCGCTTTCAGTGACCCCACCACTGGCCCCTACCTTCGTCCCTCTGAGACTTTGAGGCATTTTTGTCGATCCCCATCATATCTGGTCTAAGCATTTTTCGTGCAAGGAGAGAGAGAGAGAGAAATCGTAGTGGAGTTGGGGATGGTGGTAGGAAGGTGCAGTGGACGCTCGGTACCTTCTCTTGAAGAGATCATGAAGAGGGAACCCAAATCTAAGCTCATCAATATATCTAGTTGAACCTATCTTCACTCAAAAACTTAAACTAATGAGTTATGTACCAACTAAAATATAATAACCGATTCATACTACATTAATAATCTGATCTGGGACTTTTTTAATATAAATCACGCGTGCGTCTCAACATATGGGGGCGTGATTATGACTATAATGGCAATTGACTGAGCTAAGCGGAGGTGTTCATTTTTGCTCACTTCATTCCATTACTAAGTGCATCGCCACGCGACTACATATTTTTGGTGAAGGAGCTATCTAAAGTTACGTAGACTTGGGCCTATCTAACTTTTTGCCCATAATAGTGATACACAGTTCTCCAAATCTAAGAGCGGCGAGAAAGCGCTGTAGAGGGAAAATGTTTGCAAATTACTCTCCAATTACACCCATAGCCACCCACTTTAAGTTACCACACACGATCCTTTTATGCATAACCATCTCATGCACGCTCTTAGAGCGTGCCTTAGTCGTAGTCATATATGAAACCGAGATTGGAAACTGTGTTAAATAGTTACAATAATACAGACTTAGCAATATGGATTAATATCACAAATTTTTTTAAAATTGTGCTATTTAGAAGCATTCACCCCCAAGCTATTTTTCGACCCACAAAACCCCTCCAAAGGGGATAAGGACACTACAAGTGTCATAACTTTCGTACGATACTCACTTGAGTGCCATAACTTTTTTCGATCACTTAAGTGTCATAACTTCTAAAAACATGTTCACTTGAGTGTCACAACTTTCAATCAATCACTTAAGTATCAATTTTTTTTTAAAAATGTTCACCCAAGTGCCAGAAATCCGACGTGGTATGGCACTTGTGGTGAATGTTTTTACAAAAGTTATAAGTTAAAGGGCACTCAAGTGATTTGATAAATAATTATGGCACTTAAATGAGCGTTGTACATTAGTTATGATACTTAGATGATTGAAAAAAAAGTTATGACACTCAAGTGAACGTCATACAAAAGTTATGGCACTTGTAATGCTGTTAATCCCCCAAAGTGGTATCCTTGTATCAATTTTATCTCCCAGTACAACTCCGCTACTTTAGGTATCATGTCCTACATGTCTGTCTTGTGTGGCAGACCCATGCATGATAGATTGCACGAGGATGTTAACACATGAAGCCTTCCCAGAAAATGACCTATCTGCCCCGACGCATCTTCTTCCTCACCATAAACGACCAGACCTTCCACCCCTTTGCCATTGTCGTTTCCCTCCTCTCAATCGAGCTTGTACTCGTTGCCATGGAAATCGGCGATCGGCCATGAGAGCTAGATCTCGAGCTCACGATGGCTGTGGGCAGAGCTCGCACCCATGCGAGCTCTGCGCAGGGTGTTTGCAGCGACTACGCCAGCCCTCCCGAACAGAGCTCGAGGCCATGCGTGCTCTAAACAGAGAGATCATGGATTTCCCCTGTTGCAGCCATAGGACCCGATCTGGTGCAGACCCGAGGTTGCCCGACCTCGATCTGAAACAGATCAGAGGCGGCCACCGTAGCCGGCTTGAAATTTGAAGTGGGGATGGTCGCAACGACGGCACACACGGACGACTCTTCAATGGCCATGGTATATAGAGGTGTCTTCAATTGGGGCGATGACCTGAGGATGAGAATTTCCTTTTTCAATATTTTTTTAAATTTTTTATTTGTACTGTCTTCGTTTTCCTTATTTGTTAAAACTCATGTTTACTTTTTAATTCTTTTTTGCCACGTCATTGTTGACACTTATTTTAGCGGAGAGGTTGCGACAATCATTACTAATAAAGAATGCCGCTTAGGAGCGAGACGCAAACACTGTCAGCCTCGTCACCTGCCATGTGGGACATTTAACGGTGAAATTGGACTGAACTGTAAGCCTGTAAGGGATGGTAAAATTGGGATAATGGTACTATTTTGATGGTTTTATGAGTCAAAAAATAATTTGAAATAAATATGTTCAATCAGTACAAGATTTTTTGTTATAATCCTGATAATATTGATAAAGTCTTTCTTTTTTTTTTTTTTCTCTTTTTTGAAGAGTTGAGTCCCATTTCATTTGGCATTTTGAAATGCCAAGTTCATACTAGTGGATTGATTTATAGTCTCCGTTAGCTTACTTTGTAGTTCATTCTCTTTCTTGCTTTCCATCCCGTTAGTCATGCTTCGTTTAAGTCTTGGCGGCCCAAAGTCATTTCAAAATTCAATGAAGTCATCTTTGGTATGGTTCTTGTGTATTTCTCCGCAAGATTGAGTTGATTGTTTCTCGAGAAATCGGGAGAGCTCAACACAGTGTGATTAATGGTGTAATTAGAAGGTCATGAAACACTGAGAGTGTTTAAGTGACTAATCATCTTTGTGTCTCTCCATCAACGGTAGAATCTTGTACCGCTCTTCTCGTGTAGTAGGTTACACGGCCCAAACTATGTAAATTAGGTCCAATTTATTATATATTTTTTAGTTTATTTTTATTTGATCTCTTATTTGCGCAATAAGAGCAATACTTGTTCCGCATTGTGAGGTTTCTCATTTCATACTTTTAGATATGACCCGCAAGACCAAGATCCTAGGGAAACTCCAAATCCGAGTAGGTGGGAAATTTCTAAGACACACAAGTGAATCATACCATCTCATTTCTTACTACTCTTTTGCACTTGATTACAGCGAATCGCCTTAACGCCGTAAAATAATCCCATGACTTCTTACAATGTTTTCATAGATAATTACGACAATATGTCATAACGTCATGCGTACGCCTGGGATATCGTGAAATTGCCCATGGAAGGTGATCCAACAAGAGGATTCAAGTCCAAGATCGACCCATTTCCAAAGAAATAACAAAAAGAGCAGAAGGAAGTATTCAAAGAAGGTTGCTGCTTGCATTCAGACATGAACTACATAAACAAATGAAAGATTTCAGTGTGTTGTTCCAGATACTAATAAGTGTGTCAATGACCACACAAACAGTCAGCAAGTGAGGAAATTGCTCAGAGAGAGTGTGAGAGGACAAAACGATTGCAATAACATGGTACCATGTCAGGATGAAACTCCATCAACATCATTGACAATCTTCTGTAGCCTTTGAGACACTCTCTCATCTGAAGAATCGCCATCTTCAACCTACAGCATACTCAGCTTGGAAATAATACTGAAAAACCAGCCAATTGAAAAGGCTGAAACAACAACATAAAGAAGGAAATGAAAATATTTCCTGCAAATCTTGGCCTGGAATTTCCGTCAACCTCTCCAGGTAAAAGGTAAAAAGTCATTGAAGGTTTTACTTTTGTCAGTATACACTTGGTGCGTGAATTAACATGGATGGCTCTTATGTCTTACTGTGAATACTGTCACAACTGATAAAGCTACTTTGCACTGATTTTGTCTACTATAATCAGTTTGTGCTTCTCAAGCCTGTTCAAGAAATTCGTAAACGAGTCTTATTAATGCTATGCATACTAAAACCCGTTTCCCGAATTGGTTTCCAAATTGCATGCTGGTATTTAAACAATCGAATTAGTTGTACTCATACAGGCAGCATAGGTTCCATTCCTACCCCATCAAGTGAAAACTTAGGTTTTGACTCTCGTCTTGTATAATGCATAAAATTAATGAGATAATTCATCATTAACGATTTTACTACTTGAGTGAGTTGGGCATCCTCCTCATATAAAAATAAGTGGATCATAATCGAATGCCTCACCTCGCTCTATAAACTAATTTTACATATCATCTCTAAGTATGAGTTGCAAAATTCTACATTTTCTAGTAATCTTTTGTTCTAAATATATAAGTACATAATCATTTTTGGGCTCAAAATATAATCAAATTCTTACCTTGGCATGAATGGTGTGAAGCATTGCATCACCAACATTAGAGAAACTGGCACTGACGATATCAGCTCCTTCTTCATGAATCACTCGAACAGTCTCATTAAACATGAACTGGCCATCCAATCCAGTAACAAGAACAACCTCCAGGATTGACTCGGTTTTTTGAATTCTGATCTCCGACGACTTGAATCCGATCATCTGTCCATTCTTCATGCTCTTGTTGATCTTTTCTATTTCTAACAACCTCTCTTTCTGCTCCCTCATTTTCTCTACCTTCACTTGTAAGTTCTTTATGTAATTGGCCGCTTGGCCTAACTGATCGGGCTGTGATAACGTTGATTCCTACAACCAAACCATAAGTAAGCAAGGACAATTGTTAACTTAAACTTGATCAAAATGCATTGACAACTATAGTTGAAACAAACATTTATAGACTTTGAACTCCAGAAGATACTATTTAAACTCACCCTCATGGACAAAGTCAATCACATTCCAAAGATGAACCTCATACTTCTTAGAAACTTCCCTTGCCACGGAATCTCGCACTTATTTTCTTGAAATTGTGGTCAACACTACCTACCATTTCAGAATCTACATCACGCTAGACTTTTTTCAGAAAACTCAAATGAGGAGACATTCCAACTTCTTGTGTTTAAATAGTAACAAGAAAAAAACCCTAGATAGGTTCCTTGTGTTTAGGAAAATTTGATTTTCTTCTACTTCATTTTCGACAAAAAAAGGAAAAAAAAAGGCATGATTGGATTAAAAATGGCCACAAATACCATCTGGGAAACTGAAAATCTTGAAGAAATGATATTTTTCCATGCTTCTAGCTAAGATGAGGAGCAGAAAATGAGGGTTTCCAAATAGTCAGCACCAATTAACATAAGAACAAGCACCTTGAAGAAAATAAAAATATAAAGTAACCCCATTCTTAACAATGAAAAGTAAATACCTGGTGTTTTGTACGTAATATAACCAAAAACCATGGAAAAAATACAGTGTCGGAGAGAGAGAGAGAGAGAGAGAGAGAGAGAGAGAGAGAGAGAGAGAGAGAGAGAGAGAGAGAGAGAGAGAGAGAGACCCTAGGACTCTGTGGAGGAACAAGGGAGTGGAGCTTGGAGAGGAGTGCCTTCATTTGATTTCTCCTGTTTCTCTCTGTCGTTTTGCGGTCGGGTCTGGATGAGCCGGGCTTGCTCTCCATCAAACCCCCGGACCACGAAGTACTGAACACCAAGATCAGAGCAGCCTATGTTACTGAGAAATTTGAGTGCCTATAATGTGTTTGATTCCATCCCTTGTTGGGAAGTGCTTTCACCGCACTGAGACCACAAAGCGAAGAAAAGGTAAAGTTAAATATGATTATTCAGATGCTGCTCTCTGTAAAAGGTTCTAATTCTAAGTTGGCAAATTTCACCTTTTCTATGGGACCAACGTGGACGTTCTTTGACCATCGATTCCAAATCATTAGTTAAGTTAAACAGCATGTGAAAAAGACAGCCGCTTCTTCTACAGAAGCATGATGTTTGCTTGGCCTCGCTATTAGTTGACTAGACGGGATAATGATGAGTTATGTAATCTCATTTGTTGTGATTGGAAAATTTAATCTGAATAAGACTATGTAGATGAAACGTACTATTCTATGATGGTTTTGGTGAGAATGGACAGGTCTGAGTTAAAAGAAAGAATACTAGATAAGTTTCAAGAAAAAGGGCGAAGCCCAAGTGGCTTAATCTGTCAAAAGTATGATCACCACACGGTGGAGACCCCTATTGATGACAGGTGGAGAGAGCAATAAGTCACCATTTGAATTGTTACGTCAGTAGGGAAAAACAAGCAATCCAACACAATAATAAAAAATAGACAAAGAAAACACAATAAAAAAATGGAGGTAAAAAAAAAAAGGATATCGGATTTATGTTATTCAGTCGACATAACCTAGTCTACGGGGAGAATAGCATAGAATTTCATTAGCAATTAAAGGATACAATATTAATTACAATTACACTTGAGTCATTCAAACACTTTTAATGTCTCATAATCCCGATTACACCCAATAATAAGTCTTTAGCCTTCACAATTTCTCATTAATCTCTCAATCTCACAAAGAAAACACAAATCTTATCACAAAATTTTGTTGTGACTCCAAAATATTCTTGCTTTTTTCACTAGGTGTCATTCATAAGCATGCGGTACAATTGATTGTCACGGCCGAAACCTCCTTTGATCACTAATGAACAAAAAAACCAACAAATATCACACATATACACACACATATAGGACTTGTGATTTGATGTCTGAACAAGTAACAAATTATTGCAATATTTTATCTATTGGAATTGGATTCTTACTTTGAGTCGGCATAGAGGGGTCTCCTATTTTGAGATATATAGTTATATAGCAAAATAATAAAGAAAAAAATTTACTTTTTGTTCCTGTACTTTCATACTTTTTCTAATCAAGTCCTTATACTTTTCGTTTATCTAATCAAGTCAATCTACTTTCACAAATTCTCTAATCAAGTCCTTTTGACAAAAATCCTGCTAAATCCGACTGACATAGCTATTGGATGAGTATGACGTAAGTAAAAATTTTGTCCACATTGGCTAAATTTTATGCACTACATATTTCAAAGTTGTACCCATTAGCTAAATTTTTTGACACATGACCATGTGGGGATCCGTATATTATATCCGCATCGTATTTTGGTGTTGTCAAATGGCTATATTAGCTAAATCCAGTCGGATTTAGAGCAAGAGGAATTCGATTATAAAATTTGTGAAAAGTATAGGGACTTGATAGGAAAAACGTAAAAGTATAGGGACAAAGTCTTTTCGAAGTCGCCTAAACCGTCTTCTCATGCTTTATATACAAGAATAAATTACGTATAAGACTAAATCTGAGTAGTGGAGCTCACTTAGCGAGTACAAAAAATAAATAAATGCTTTATTGTGATTTCTTATTCAGTCGGTTGGAGCTTTAGTCGATTTACTTTATTTGAAGCACCCATAGAAGCTCCATTTTTTTTTAGATGGAGCCACACATAGGAGAATGGAAAAATAAGACTAATTTGATTGGAGTGCCCCGAGACAATTTCAAGATTGTCTTAGGGATAGAGTTCTTGGATATCCAACCAAAGCCGTCCGTATGCCGTACTTAGGCACTTTCGGCATCATGGATGAAGGAAGACCGGCTCCAAGTCTTAATATCAAAACTAGTTTTCCACTTTATCCGCTTTGCAGCTTTGTTGAGGGATTCAAGAAGGACGAAGAAACCTTTGTGGCCCACCATTTGTTAAACCCCCTCTTCTTGGGCAATAGGGTATCCTTTCTAGACTTCTAGGCTTGAGTTTTCTTTTGAGTGCGGGTTCCTTTATAGGGGGAGTCTGGGTCCGGGGATGTACAAGCAAGAATTGTCTAACCGATAGATCCAGTTATACCTATTTTCAACATCTTATGGCATGCCCGGACTCTTTGTGGTCTCACGTCATAAAGGCCAAATATTTCCGGTCTATTAGTCCTTTAGAAGTTGAATCCGCATCCGAGGCATCTGTCGCCTGAAAATCCATCTTAGCTACGCTAAAAGGAATTGCCCAAGCTAGTGACAGGCTAGCTAGGGCTAATCTCCATCATTTATTTTAGACACATAGGAAAATGTCATCAAAATAATTACTACTCTTAACTTAATAAGAAAGTAGAAGCATGGTCTCTGTTTAGGTGCCCAATTCTCTTTTGAAATTGGGCTTGGCAAAAATTCAAGGCACGGAACCACCTTTCTTCAAATAATAATATATTATTTAAGTGCATCCTAAGCAAGCTGTCTCCGGATGACGAATAATTGGTGACGTATTATGGATGACGTCTGCTTTTACAAATTTCTGCGTTAAAAGCGCATGCAAAGTGATAGCTAGTCCTTTGTTTGCTTCCTCCTACAGAGAAAGCCTCAAGCATCCCACTTTGTCCGGGAGCATTCACATGCAATTATCGACGTGCACTATGTGCGTGATTCACAAGTTTCAAATCTCTAGAACATGGACTATATCTTTGAAATCACAAGTTTCAAATCTCTAGAACATGGACTATATCTTTGAAATCACAAGTTTCAAATCTCTAGAACATGGACTATATCTTTGAAATATATCTAGGATATGATTATGTTGTTGGTATCCAATGTCAATTTCGATTCGTTTCGTAATTAGATAAAAATTCTATCAAATTCAGTAAATTAAGAGGAAAAAAAACGATTTATTCAGTGATATTAGATGCTTTAGGATAGACAAAGTTTGGATAACTTCAAGGATCGCTCAAAAGGTGTTACTTTTTTTTTTTTTTGCTAAAGGTCTAAATTCAAATAGTAATATTTGCGCATTCAGTAGTGGACCCAGGTTTCCCGCTGAAGGGAGGAGCTTAGGTTTAAGCAATGATCTTTAGAAATTCTGAACTAAGTAATCGAGTGATAAAAAGTAAACTTAAATTCTACAGAGACATACAATACGTGAATTAGCATATATATAAAAACAAGCAACATATGAAGATTAAAATGCCGGCTACAAACGACAAGGATCAATTCAATTATGTCCATCTAGAAAAAAACGAAGAATTGGTGGGGGCACCTATCAATTTTTTCTTAACTTTAGGCACTCTGTATCAAACTAGTCTATAGTAAATTGAATAAGGGCACCACAAGTGTTATAACTTTCTACGCCGCTTACTTTAATGTAATAACTTTATAATTGATCACCTGAGTATCATAACTTTTAAAAAATGTTTACTTTGGAGTCATATCTTTTCAATCTATCACTTGAGTATTGTAAATTCAACAAAATATTAAAATTTACAACACTTGTGGTGAACAATTCTTTTTTTTTTTTTTAAAGTTATGATACTTAAGTCATCAAATATAAATAATCTCATACGTAGACAATTCACCTCACATCGTGCTTTATCCGGATTGAAGAGGTTATTGATAGCGACCAATTGAAAGTGACTTATCTCATTAAAGCAAGAAAAAAGAGAAGTTCTTATTTCTTTTGTTGTTGTCTTTACAAGGTAATTTCATTATCCCCAGCTCCAAGAGAGTCAAAAGTTGTGCGGTGTAGTCGCTCAATTTGAGGTTGTGGAGAGAGACATATGAGTCATGTCTCTTCACATGTTGGGTAATATGCTTTTCTCACGGTTGATGTCAATTTTCCCCTGGCTGGGCTGATCATACTGATTGGAATTGGCTTGTTGGAGATTAGTAGGAAACCTTGATCATATGAAATAACTATTTTCCTACGTGGGAAGAGCGGATTACGCGATGTGTGTATAATCACCGGAGGACAGGATTTTCTAGAGACTGAGAGTCTAGCAAGTTTTCATAGGTCTACTAATCCCTGTGATAATTACTAAATCAATCCTAAAACTATTGTACGGATATCAATTTAGTAATAAATTTTTTTAATTTTGTCAATGTAATTCTAGACCTTTACGCAAAATTCCAACGTATTATTTTCGATCAATTACCGCCGAGAATTGCTGACTTGGGAATCAATTGTAGATCTAACGTAAAGGATCTAGAAACTTGTGTCAATCCTAAGGATCTGGAAACTTATGCTTCCATGTCACAAATCAATCATTTGGCAGATTTATCAATAATAGTGTTACAACTAGACACGGCCAAAAATCGAGATGTTGAAAGGATTTATTGTTGGATGAAGGACATGTATTTTTAGAGTTTATTTTGTAATCAAATTTTTTTACAAATCAATTTAATAATTGTGAACATGTAACTGACTTTTTACTTAGACAATGGACCTAATAAAAATCCTCAATCTAAGAACACACGATTCGTAGTTAACACAAGCAAAAAACAATATCATCGCGACTAAGCACTAATCACAATTTAGTCCACTTGACATTGATTATCCTGCAAGGGTGGCCCCTATAATTCACTCTATGGTAAAAATTAAGTTAATTAATAGCTTTACCCTTATAAACCTTGCTTTTGTTCTTCTAGGATTTAAAATAATATATTGAATTGAAATGAAGAGAACGAGCCTTTGAAATCAAGCATAGATATCCCCGGATAAGTGCGGAAACAGAACTTAACATTTTCGCCATGGTAAAATTGAGAATTTAAGATATTATTTTGATTAGTTGAGGACTTAAGATATAAAAAAACCCACAATCAAGTCCCAAGCTCACCATTGGTTGAATTCAAACGTCAGAATGACACATGGCAAATGATGAAATATTCCACAAGAGAGCCACATTGGATTTCGAATGTCTGAATGATGCTATTGACGAGCTCAAAACCTGATTGAGACTTTTATAAAATCTTAAGTTCTCAATTCATCAAGATTAAAGTTTAAGTCTTCAA